CGGCCAAATCCCCCGATATCCAGATTAAGGGACAGAAACAGATGGGGTTACAGATCAGAGAAAACTATTTTGGGTGATAATACAGAAAATAAGATTATCAGTCTTTCCAAAGTCACACCTATCTCTGCTAAATAAAGAACTTTCTTTTGTACCAACTCTAGATGCTGATAAGTTCAATTGGTTAAAAAACACAAATCTCTTTCGGAGAAAACTAGCATTGAGTGCTCTACACAAAAGAAAAGAAACCCTAATGGCAAGAGAAATAGGTATAGCATCAGAAAATTATCTAGTAACACTGTTGGATGATCAAGAAAAAGGCCCACCTCTTACCGACCTGAAATACCCCTAGTTAGTTGATATACCCCTAATTTTAGAGAAGTGATGAATATTGATCGATTCATACAAATGACTACTGATAAAATTGACCAATTATCTCCTGTAGAATCACTGAGCAGCAACTTGTGTCACGAAGAAAGTCAAGCTCTGAGAGAATTAAGACTAAACAAAAACTTAATATAGCAACAGTTGCAACTTTCTATTGTCTACCAAAGATTCACAAAGACCCAGTGAATTCACAAGGTAGACCAATTGTCTCTGGTAATAATTCACTTACTGAGCAAGTAAGCAAATATATGGAAAAAATACTTTGCTAACTTTAGAAAATATTGTTCCACCATACACTCTTATAGCAAGATTAGATGTGTTATCCTAGTTCAATAATATTCCTCATATCATTGGTCTTCGAGCAACCCAATTCTTCCTGGAGAAATCACTAAAAATTGCAACATCCCAAAGGTTTTTCCTCATGGACTTATTGGAATTCATACTCACCCATCATTTCTTTGTTTTTAACTGCATTTACCATCTACAGATTAAGGGCAAATTGATGGGGACAGCTTGTGCCCCTAGTTATGCCAACCTATATTAAGGTTGGTGGGAAACCACTATTCTCAAAGAAATACTACAAACAGGGTATGATGAATTTATTGTAAGCTGGCATCGCTATATTGACTATGTCATTCTCTTCTGGACAGGTTCAATTCCTCAGTTTGATGAAATGATATCAAAACTGAATACCAACAATATTGGCTTACAACGCACGTCATCAGTGAAGAAAGACTTGAATTCCTTGATTTTACAATTAGGTTGCTACCTGGGGTGAAGTTGAAACAGAACTGTATAGGAAACTTACCTCTTGTAAAAACTTTCTCCATTGGAACAGCCATCATCCTTACAAGCTCACGGCTGGCATCCCATATGGTCAGTACTTGAGAGCCAAGAGAAACGAGGAATCCTACAAACCTGATTTAAACAGGGGTACCCAAACAGAATCCTGAAGCAAGCATACCAACGAGTTTCCAAAAAGGACAGATCAACCAGTCTTCGAAATCATAGAGCTCAGGCTACAAAACCCATTTTTAGATGTATAGGTACTTATGATCAACTTTGGAATCCTATTTTTAAAATATTTGCTGATAATTGGCCAAAACTTACCCACGATAAAAATGTAGCAACTAACCTCTCACAGTTCCCCACCATTACTTCACGCCGTCCATTAAACATATGCAATTTATTGGTTCATAGCCATTTGGAACCAGAACAACCCCCTAAAATGTGGCTTAAAAAGAACCAATGGGGTATATACGTGTGGACGCTGCAAAGTGTGTAAGTATATCAAACCGTCTAAAACAGTGGAAGGCACAAATATCAAAAATACATACACAAAAAAATTTGCAAACTGCAGCACAGCTAAGGTTGTGTACGTTATAACTTGCACCTGCAAACTACAGTATGTGGGAAAAACCAAGAATTTCGGAGAAGAATTCTTCCGCATGTAAACTCCATAACAAACTTTAATATCTCAACACCTGTGATAAACCGTGTGAGGAATTTTCATAACACTGACCCATCCAACCTCTCTTTCCAAATCTTGGAACGTATTCTTCTAAACAGTAGAAAGGTAAATGGTAATCTAATGCTGTTAAAAAGAGGAGGCAATATGGATACATTAATTAAAAATATGTATGTGGTGCCAACATTGACTGAACAAAGAATTAAATTTTACTCTGTTCATCCACAATTAACATAATCGGTTTTATTCCTGGAAAGAAGTACAAATCCCATTAGATCCCTTACTAAGTATTAGCTGTTGAAATAATGATGTACAATATTTATTTGACATCATTTAAACACATTCAATTGAGTAGCTTAGATTTCTAATAGATCACTTTGAAATCTCGTTTCTTGCAGTGCAGTAACACCTTGTGCCACTCGCTTTATTGCTCGATCATTCCTGTACTTAACGTACAAGAATGTAATCTCTTCTTACACTAAACAATTCCAACTATCGAACTGCAAAATAAGTATCAGTGGCCAAAACGCGTCAAGTCTTTGCTATTTGCACAGTGGACTTCTTCTTTATTTATACCCAGTGTTTGTTTTTACCCCAATTTTTTAGTGTGTCCAATAAAATTATTTCAATCCCTTGCATCCATATAACAGAAGGAACACAGAGGGGGAGCAGCCTGGTGTGTGGAGGTCACGTGTTGATATTATACATGCCTGTAGTTTGAGCCAGCTTATGTTAAGTGGCTCAAAACCATGTGAGTGAAACCTTTTTAAGTCCAAGTCACAAATTAAATGTTACTACTCTGTGTTTTTTCCCCCCCCCTGTTTTTTATATTTCATAGACTGGAATAAATCAAGCAATGATAAGATTACAGACTTTTTGAAAATTAAGGGTAAAGTGTCATTGTATGTAGTGTGCTCACACCAACTGTTTATTGTTTATTATTCACTTGTATGTGTCCGAGTGACTCACGTAGGTGATTGAAGCACCTTTGTTCTTTATCTGGTCTATTTTTAGCCTTATATATTATGTTTCCTTGTTTTAATGGTCGCACAGTCCTCTAACTACTTTGTATCATTTTGGTTTCAGTTTGAATCCTTAACTATAGGGCCTGCAGACCTCCAGACCCTCCCACCTCCCAGGAGGTGGGAGGGAGGGTCTGCTGCTGATTGGCTGGAATGTGTCTGCTGACTGTGAGGTACAGGGTCAAAGTTTACTCAATGATGAGTCCGTGGCGAACCGTTCGGCAAACAGTTCGGGACATCACTACTAGGAAAGCATTGTACTTTGATCACCTCTAGGATCCTAGTATTATATTCCTGCTGTCCATTTGCCTCAATAGAGACGACTGTATCTTCCATTTTGTTTTTATTTATTTTTGTCACTTTTGCATATATTTTATTACACTCTAGATATTGATTAAAAGTTACGTTTTATTAACCCCTTAAGGACCAAACCTCTGGAATAAAAGGGAGTCATGACATGTCACACATGTCATGTGTCCTTAAGGGGTTAAACTCTCCCATTAAGGAATACATTTTTGGAAGACTTTTTCTTTTAAATATTTCATACTTGTTTTTCACAGTTTAGGAGTTACCCCCCTTTTTTCTGCTACCAGCGTGTTTCCTTTTTTCTATATTAGAGGCTCATTTTCCTTTGGTTTCCAGAATGTTGCAAATTGCCTACATGCCCTTCTCGGAGCACAACCTATATGACATATGGAGTGCGACCCACCCTTCTTACAGGGAATATACTTTTGTTTCCTCAGTGCAAAATAGCTACACGAGGATAGACCGATACGTACAGGGCCCTTCACTATAACAGGTAGATTACTGCTCCATAGGAAACATAGATTGGTCAGACCATGCCCCTGTCATCCTTGACATAACCGACACCTTCAATTTCAAGGGCAAATCCCACTGGAGACTGAATTAATCCCTCCTTCAAGACACTGAGTTTATCAACAAGCTCCATGAACATATCAGGGATTACTTTTCTACAAGTGAAACACTGGACGTGAACGTTGACGCTATATGCCAGGCACACAAGGCGGTACTGAGAGGACTGATATTATTATTATTATTATTGGTATTTCTATAGCGCTAGCTTATTCCGCAGCAATTTACAATAAAAGGGGAATTTACCAAATGAGACGGTAACAAAATGTAACAGGATCAATAGGCAGTTGAGGACACTGCTCAAACGAGCTTACAAGCTAGAGGAGGTGGTGTATAAAATCACAATCGGAAGGGTATTGAGATAGACCGCAAATAGACATGGTGGTAAAGTACCAGAACTGGAGGTGAGAGTGGAGTGTGGCCCTTTCGGAGAAAGCAAGAGGAAAGTTTGAAAGATAGAAGTTACTCTTGGAGACCATAAGTCATCCTAAAAAGATGGGTTTTGAGGGACTTCTTAAAGGCTTGAAGACTAGGGGAAAGTCTGACAGGGGTAGGCAGGCTGTTCCAAAGGAGAGGAGTCGTCCGTGACTAGTCTTGCAGGCGTGAATTTGCAGTAAGGGTGCGAGCAGTAGACTGGAGAAGGTCGCCAGTAGAGCCGAGAGACCGAGAGGGGGCATACCTATAAATCACTGAAGAAATGTAAGAGGGGCTAGAGTTGGTTAGAGCTTTATAGGTAAGAGTTAGTATTTAAATTGACACTGTAGGGCACTGGAAGCCGGGGTGAGGAGCGACAGGAGAGAAAGATCAGCCTGGCAGCAGCATTAACTACAGATTGTAGGGGGGCGGTACGGCTTCTGGGGAGACCAATTAGGAGAGGATTACAGTAATCGATACAAGAGATTACGCAGCATCTTGCGTAAGAAAGGGGCGTGTTCGGGCAATGTTTTTAAGTTGGAATCGACAGGTTTTAGCAACAGCTGGACATGAGGCACAAAGGTAAGGCCCCATGTAGCGAGGAGCAAACGTCATGGAAGGAACCTTAAATCTTATGTGTTTCGTACTTAACCATACCCTATCACCCAGTTGATAAACAGGAGCAGCGCTTCTACATTTATCTGCATGTTTTTTTTTAACTGTACAGAGCTCTCTGTAAGAATTTGTTGAGTCTGATCCCATAATTTTCTCAGGTTAGCAACATGTTTGTCAACCATCATTATACCCTGTGAAGGCAATACAGAAGGTAGGATGAAAACCATAATTCATGAAAAAGGGACTGTTTCACGTTGAATCACAAATGAGATTATGTGCAAACTCAGCCCAAGGAATCAGAGAAACCCAATCACCTGATGTTTGGAAACAAAACATTGTAGATATTGTTAAAGTTTTTGATTAGTACGCTTGGCTGCTTCGTTTGATTGAGGATGATAAGCTGATGAGAGATTCTTCCTGATACCCATCTGAGAACAGAATGCATTCCAAAAACGTGATTCGAACTGAGAACCCCTATCTGAGACAATTTCTGTATGAATCCCATGTAATAGGAAAATCTCTTTAGCAAATATATCTGCTAATTTGGGGGAGGGAGGCAATTTAGGCAGGGGAATAAAAATTAGCCATTTTAGTAAATCTATCAACAACGGTGAGGATTACAGTTTGTTAGACAATGGTAAATCGGCAATAAAGTAAATAGCAAAACTGACCCATCATTTTTTCGGTATGTCCAAAGGTTGAAGCAAACCACATGGAAGAGTATGAGTTTGTTTTTAGCGCATATTTCACAAGCCATGACACAGTCTCTTATATCCTTGCCGCAAAGTAGGTCACCAGAATTCATTAGAAACAAAAGAATAAGTTTTATGTATGCCAGGGTGTCCGGCTATTTTACTGTCATGAAAACATAGAAGTACTTCCTTTTGGAATACTGGATGAACATATCTTTTTCAAGAGTTCGGTCTGGAGCTAGGTATTGCTTCTGCTCTATATTGGTAATAAGTGGAGAATGCACCTTTATGCTAGTGTTGGCTATGATATTTTGCTTTGGAACGATAGGGGACATTTCTCTTTTGGTAAATGCAGAAGTCTCATGTTGACGTGACACGGCATGTGGATGCTTTAGAATTTTTTGATCCAGGCCTGTAAGTAAGCATGTAGTTAAACCATGTAAAGAACAAGGACCTACGAGCTTGTCTGGCAGGTAACCTCTTTGCCTCTCCTACATAAGACAGGCTTTTATGGCCGGTTAAAATTATAACCGGCCATCTAATAGATGTCTCCATTCCTTTAATGTCATTATTACTGCCAACAGCTCTCTATCTCCAATGTCATACCTTTTCTCTGTGTCTGATAATTTCTTTGAAAAGAATCCACACGGATGTAAAGGTTTATCGGAACTTTGTCTTTGAGACAAAACTGCCCCTATACCGGTTTCAGATGCATCCACTTCAAGTAAAAAGGGTAATGTAGTGTTGGGATGAACCAATATTGGGCAGATGCAAAAGAGTTCTTAAGGGTTTCAAAAGCAGATAAAGCAGAGGATGACCAAGTCTTGGTATTAGTACCTTTCCTAGTCATGTTTGTTATAGGTGCTACTATGGACAAAAACCCTTTAATGAAGCACCTATAGTAATTGGAAAACCCCGCAAAGCGTTGTCTAGCTTTAAGTCCCCTTGGTAAAGGCCATTGTAAAATGGATTTAAGCTTAATAGGGTCCATCATAAAACCATCACTAGAGATAACATACTCTAGAAAATTTATCCAAGATTGGTCAGGCACTTTTCCAATTTGCAATATATTCCATGTTGTAAAAGCTCTAACAATTCTTTTTTCACCTGTCTGTGATGTGTCTCTCTGTCCTTGGAATGGCTCATTATATTGTCTAGATATACTAGAAAGCATTCATGCTGAAAATCCCTTAACACCTCATTGATTAGGTCCTGGAAAATAGCCAGGGCATTACATAGTCCAAATGACATTACTGTGTACTTGTAATGGCCGTAACGATTATTGAAGGCTGTTTTCCATTCATTGGAGCCCTTTAATCTGTCGAACAACTCAGTAATCAGAGGAATGGGGTATGCATTTCTAATGGTTATCTTGTTTAACCCCCTGTAATCAATACAAGGTCTAAGATCACCTTCTTTTTTAGATACAAAGAAGAATCCAGCTCCAGCAGGAGAAGACCTTCTGATAAACCCCCTTTTTTTTATTTTATTTTAAGTATTCCTCTAACACTATGCTCTCTTTAGTAGATAGAGGATATATTGTACCTCTCGGGAGCATGGTTCCTGGTAAAAGGTTGATAGTGCAGTCATAAGACCTAGGTGGAGGTCAAAACTTGCTGTAAAGTCTAGATATTGAGGGGGTATCTCTGATGACAGAGAAGACATAGTGGGTATGTTTACCAAAAGAACAGGTTTGATTTTCTATAAACATCCCTGAGTAAACCCTTGGCTCCATGATACAATATCTCCTTTATCCCAATCAATAATGGGGTTATGTTTCTTCAACCAGGGAAACCCCAAGACGACTGGAAAGGCTGGAGAAGAGATCAATTGGAGTAAGGCGATTTCATTGTGTTAGATACCAATGATTAATTTAACAGGTATAGTTTCATGTGAAATCACAGGCTCCGACAGTGGTCTACCATCCATGGCCTCAATGGCCAATGTTGTAGCTCTTAACCAAAAGGGAAGAGAATTGCTATCAGTAAAGGCCTGATCTAGTAAACTCTCTGATGCTCCTGAATCTATTAAGCCCACTATTTTTATGGATCTCTTCTCCCAGTTTAAAGAGATGGGAATTAGAAGCCTGTGTTCTTTCATTTTTGATAAGTAGGACATGATCGAAACACCAAAGGCCTGTCCTCCAAAGGAACTTAAGTGCGAGTGTTTCCTGGCCTGGTAGGGCAGTTCAAGCGAAGATGGCCTAGTTGCCCACAATACAAACAAAGCCCTTCTCTTCTCCTGTATTGTCTCTCTGCTTTAGTTAGGCGAGTAACCCCTAATTGCATTAGTTCGGGAAGTGCTAAAGCTATAGAATCAGGGTTCTGAAAAGAAGCGGCTAGTCTAATAAAAGGTCTATGGGTTCTATCTCTGTCTATGCCTTGTGCGTTCATCTATACGAGAAATTAACGAAATCAGATCCTCTAGTGGCCACCTCATCTAAGATAGCATCAGACAAACCATTTAAGAAAACATTCATAAATGTCAGATTGTTCCACTTAACCTCTGCAGCCAAGGATCAGAATTCTAAAGCGTATTCCACAAGCGTTCTGTTACCTTGTCTAAGGTGCAAAAGAGATCTGGCTGCATTGGCATTCCTGCCTGGAGGATCTCCTAAATGCTGCAACAAAAGCATTGTAGTTGTATACCAAAGGATTATCATTCTTCCATAAAGGATTAGCCCATGTAAGTGCTTTATCTATTAGTAAGGTTATAAAGAAACCAACTCAAAATTAATGCTAATCTGATTCAAAAAACCACGACAAGCATCCGGTGCCCTGCCATAGCGTAGCGGGGAGGTAACGTGAGAAGAGGCACCAACTGTGGTCACTTTTATGCCTATTGCTATGGGGGCAATAGGGGAAACCTGACTCTCATCTTGCAGAGTGGTCGAACGAGACAATAATGTCTGCAAAGCCAGAACGATCTGGTCCATTCTATGGTCCACTGCCTCAAATCAAATATGGAGAATGCAAAATAGGAGAATGTTTACAGGGCCTTAGAATGGCCAGACTAACGTAGGAAAGGACAGAGAATAGCCAGGGACAAGCCAAGGTCGAGGGAGCCAGAAAACAGGTAAGCGAATATACAAGCCGAGTCAAAGGGAAGGAGAACACAGAATAGTCAAAATCAGAGCCAAGTCAGATACCAATAAACCAAACCAGAGTATTCACTATAGGAACAAACAAGCTAGAGCCACAACAGGGCAATGATTCATTGCAAATGAGTCCTTTTTATAGTTTGGCTCTTTAAGTGATGACCACGCCCCCAAAATGTCCAAATTTGGAACGTTTCGGCGGCCATGACATCATGACAGCGCATCATGATGGGGCAGAGCTAATGTGGCTGGCGTCTAAATGGACGAGATGAGAGGGGGGAATGTGAGAAGTGTACCCATCATGTGGGAGAAGACCCACAGGCTGGATCCCTGCCTGGGCAGTAACCACAGGTACCCTGACAGAGAGGAGGTGGTGTTGGAAAAAGAGATACTAAAGGAGCGTTGAGAGAGTTAGGAGGAGAACCACGAGAGGGTCATGTCACAGAGACCAAGAGATGGAAGAGTTAGGAGAAGGAGGCCATGATCAACCGTGTAAGGCAGCAGATAGGTCAAGAAGAATTGGTATACGAGTAAAATAAAATTAATAAAAAACAAGCATCACATGTAAAAAAAAGAGCACAGGTTTAGGCAGCCTAAACCTAGCAAAACTCCATCAGAATGCGCTAACTTGAGGCAAATATCATTGTTAAACGTTGATATTAAAATTTACTCAAAATTAATAGCCTCACGTATAAAACCAGTGTTGAGCAATATGATATCTCAGGAACAAAAGGTGTTTGATCGTTTAAATTGGATTTATATGGAAGAAGTTTTGTTTAAGATGGGTTTTCCCCCTGCTTTTTAAGATAGTATTTTGGTTTTGTATAAACATCATTCAGCAAGAGTTTATAGCTCGGGTTTTCTTTCATCTTCTTTTAATATAACGAATGGAACAAGGCAGGGTTGCCCTCTTTCTCCACTGATCTTTATATTATGCCTAGAACCCCTAATACTACATATCAATAAACATAATAAAATAAAGGGCTTACAAACACCAGCAGGAGAAATGAAAGTGGCGCTTTTTGCAGACGACATTACTATTCCTATCTGATCCCCTAGTATCATTACCAAACCTTATGGCTCTATTAGGGAGTTATGGACGGGTCTCCTATTATAAAAATAATTCAGAGAAAACCCAAGCCATGGCTATACATTTGCCGGCACAGTTGGTAGAAACCTTGAAATCCACATATTTATTTGATTGGCGCACTACGTCAACGTCAATATCTTATTTAGGTATAAAACTTACTAAGACGCAAAGCTTGATTATTAAAAAAAACCATATTCCACTGCTGCATTAATTAGATAATCAACTGAGATCATGGGAGGATAGAAGAGTATCGTGGTTGGGCCGTATAAATACGGTAAAGATGGCTATACCCTTTGTCCCTAAGCCCAACATGACTTTGTTCTAATTGCTAACGATTTTGGCACCAATTTAAAGGGCACTAAAAGGAGCTAAAGTCTTATTTAAAGGTTTCAAATAAATGCCAGCTTTAAAGAAAAAGCCAGGCTTAAGACCCAAGCACTATATCACTAATTTTTTATTATGAATTGTCATAGATGGAGTGAAGATAAAACAATCTGGGAATATGCAGATGTTGAGATACTGAGTGTCACTTTGTGAATTTAAATTAGAGTCATTTTTAGAGAGTGGTATCTAGCAGATACAATGATTGGCGCTTAATATGGGGTTTTATGATAATGGTATCTTGCTGGAGGGAGACAGGGGAAGAGAGAAGGACCAGTATCCTAGTGAAACTCACTGCAAAATATAGCAGTAAACTGCCCCAAAGCTATGAAAGTAATTAAATATGAGAGATGCTGACCAAATAATAAATTTGTTACCTCCTGCTCAACCGATTATACATACATAAGTTGGGCTGAAATACAATATAAATCTGTAAAACACAAATATGGAAAGGAATAGTGCAATATTGTCAATATAAAAATAACCCCAATATGGAAGGAGTTAGAAAAGTTTTTTTTAGTTTAGGTCTAAGGGTAGCTAATCCTAAACAACCGGAATCATATCTCCTACATATGTTTTCGATAACACTTCAGGAAGATGTATTAACAATAATTATACAATGTTTAATAGTGGTTAAAATAGCTATCGCATATAAATGGAAGCAGCCAAGGGGAGACAGGGGACTAACAATACTAGAAAGGTAGTAGATATTTTGTACTAGATACATAGGTGCAAAACAGAGGGAGTCTTGATCTCCTTAGACGCAGAGAAAGCCTTTGACCGCCTAAGCTAGAATCTTTTTAGATGCAGTGCTGCAAAAGTTCTAATTCCCATCTAGATTTCTAGTGGCAGTCAGGGCTCTTTATTACCACCCTACAGCCAGAGTGGCGTATGGTGGCTTTCTCTCTGAGCCGTTTAATATTATGAACGGTACACGGCAGGGATGTCCCCTGTCAACCTTTCTGTATGTGCTGGCCTTAGAGCCACTGGCCATACAAAAAAGATCAGACACTAAAATCTCAGGCATCAGAATTTTGAGACACTGAACACAAACTGAGCTTATTCGCGGACGACGTACTCTTGACAGGCACACCACCCTTGACCTGCATCCCAGCCATCACGATGATATGACAGGAATACAGTAAATACTCCTACTACAAACTGACCCAGGCACTACCCATCCACACGGAACATAACAAAACGCAACTCTTGAGACAAACTTACCATTATGACTGGAGGGAGAATTACATTGTATATCTAGGGGTGAATATCACCAAAACCTACAGGACCTCTTTACGGCCATCTGTGGCAGACTTGCTTTCTCCATTAGATCTGACTTGGATAAAGGAAAGACAAACATATAATGTGATTAGGTCGCATTGCAGCATTTAAGATGATGCTTCTTCCGAAGCTACAGTTTATGTTTTAATCCCTCGCGAGAGCTCTTCCGACTTCATACTTACCCATCATACAGAACCATGTGTATCGTTTCGTGTATGGGAGATGTAAGGCGAGGATTCATAAACACACCGCAGAGTGGACGTTAATGGGTGGGGCATGGGTAACCCCGACTTACAGCTCTACTATAGCGCTACTTTGCAGAATTACGCAATTTTAATCACCGACCCAGAGACATCTCCGCAAATGGGTGGAGATTGAATTACACTGGGCAACACCCGAGGGCATTCAGATAAAACCACAGACTACACAAGACAGACATTCTCCCTACTTCTGCACTAATTGTGCATACTTGGGAAAAATACAGAGCAACAAACCACCACCTGGAGACCGATCTCGTTAGCTACCCACTTAATTAGTTTCAAACACATACTTTCTACGATTGATAGTAGAGAATGGGAGGGTAAGGGACTGACGCACCTAATCCTTCTCTGGGAAGCATCTAGCCTGAAGCCGTTCACACAGCTACAAAAGGACCATGACATCCCATTCACGCAGTTTTTGTCATACATTCAAATACGATTCACACTCCTGGGGCTTAACCAGTTGTGCAACTTCTCCTACACAGTTCAGTCCTCAGATCTATTTATGATAGAGAAAATGTGTGTTTGCCTAATACCCAAAAACAAAAGTTCCTCAATGTGTTATTACGTCATTTTGTATGATAGGAAAACCCCTTTACCTAGCTACACCAAGAAATGGGTAAAAAACTTGGGCCACAATATCCCTCAGAAACAATGGAGAGAAGCTTTTTCCATACACAAGAAATACACCCAATGCATCTCACACTTAGAACTTATGAAAAAAATTGCAACACGGTGGTATTTGCATATACTTCCCTCTCTTCTTACTTTTCCACTGTAAAGATAGAGAGGTACAAAATAGTGCAGATATCTCTATATACTATGTATCAAATAAATATAAATCAAGCACACTCACATAATATGTATATTTTGAAAATTGGTTTTTAAAAATAGTTATTCCATTCACATACATCTGATAAGGACTAATTTGGGACTAGTACATCTATCCGGAATGACATTGGAACGCATTGCGTTCCACTGATGCTGCGGCTGACACAAACCGGATGTGACGCGGACATTCCGGACGTGACGTAAGGAACCCGGAAATATGCGGTGGAACGCATAGATGCGTTCCACCGGAAGAAAAAGACCGCGAAAGTTGAAACAGCACAGCATTTAAGAAATTGGAAGACATCACTACAGCATCCACGCCAACTAAGGAAGCCACATATCGGCGAAACACGTTTTGGCAACAAATTGGACATCAGTAGATTTTACTTATATTCTTTTTTTATCCATTTTTTAAATAAATTTACCTTTGGAATTTATTGTATCTCCATTGCCTATTATTGAAAAAGGAGGACAACACATCTCTTCAAGCACCACCAAAGAGGTCTGGGTATCACTCAATAAAGATCCCAAGGAGATCCAAACCAGAGCCAGGTTTATTAAATGACTCTTACATTGTGAGTGTTCTTGATTTATATTTATTTGATACTTTGTATATAGAGATATCTGCACTATTTTGTACCTCTCTATCTTTACAGTGGAAAAGTAAGAAGAGAGGGAAGTATATCTTTATTTACTATTTTTGCTCCACCAATTTTCTTTGTGTGTGTTATATGTGATTTCA